GAACCAGGTGGAGGGGAGCTATGGGGGGGAAAAAGAGGAACAACTGTAATAATCTGAACAATAAAGATTTAATTAAAATATATATATATATGGCAGATAAAATTGGTAGAAATTGATGATTGAATTGATATGGAGATGAGGGGAGAGGATCCCAAACTCATCTGCTTCATCAACAATCTATGGAGTTAGAAGGACAAACTCCATCCTGTCCACTTTATAGATGTTTGTTTGGGGTTCAGAAAGGCTAAATGACTTAACCAAACTCAAGTAGTAATTTAATGCCAGCGCTAGAGGGGTTCAGCCTTGGGCTCTTTGCATAACAGCCTGCTCTGCTTTGAGGAAGTTCTGGCCTGAGAGTCCACATCCCAAGAAGATATTGATGCTGGAAATATGAAATAGTTGTGTGATCAGAGATACCTGCCAGCCTACCTGAAAGTCAAGATTCAATATTGATGGGCAGACTCACAAAGAAGCTTGGGGTGGGTGGCAAGGAGAGTATACTTCCCATAGTATATTAATTACACGCATAAGATTTAGAATTAGACTGCACTTTCTAGCACTAAGAACTTTGGAAGGAGGGCCCATGGTTCAGTGAGGTGTGAGGGAAGGAGTGAGGAGTATAGGGTGAAGGGACTAGTACCTGAGTATGTCTGGTACAGGAAAAGGTCCTGTTTAGCACTGATCAGCCATGCATTCTTATGGACCATTGACCTTTAAAAAAGACAAAATTGTGTTTTAGATGAATATAGCATCTGAAATGGCTTTTTTTTTTTGATTGGCTCCCTAAAAGGAAGATTGCGAACTAACCTCCAATAATCTTTAGAACAGTTTAAATATCAGCTCCTTTTGATGACTAGAGAATATACCAATGGGGCAAAGTATTCTGATCTAGAAAGTGACTGTATGAGAAGAATAATACCAATTTCACAGAGTATCGAGAGCATGAAATGAAATGATGAATGTGAAAGGGCTTGATATGGAGCTGGCCTACAGGAGATACTCAATGAATACTAGTTTTATTCCTTCCTAACTTAGAGAGAGAGAGAGACAGAGACAGAGAGAGACAGAGAATACCCATACTTTGGACTGTGTAGCTGAGAGTAACATGTCATCATCATCACAATGAAATCAACATTATTTAGACAATGTGTTTTTAAGGAAAATATCTGCCAAATTATATAGTGACAGAACATGAGGTAAGTCATACAGAAAGAAATTTAAAAATTCTAATTTATCTCTCCATACCTCTATGAAATTTGTACCCTTCCCATCATGAAATTCCTGGAATGTATCTAATAAAATTGTGTACTATCTTAAATTTGCAGTGCTATGAAATTACTCATGAGGTAATTCCCAAAATTCTGACCATCATCACATTAAAATATTTACATTATTTCAAGATGAGTGCAAAGGAATCAATTTTATCTACCCAAATAAAAGAGATCAAGTGGGTACACATGGTTTTATCATTCTATTCTGTTTATGTATGTTTGAAATTTTTTTATACAAGGTTAAAGAAAGGAAGCAAGACAAGAGAGAGATAATACAAGATGAAGATAAATTTGGTTCCTCCCATTTACTTACTTTCCTTTGTTAAATACTGAGAAACTAACATTCTGGGAACCTGTAACAAACAAACCAAAACAGACATTAATACAGGAATCTGCAAGAATCACCTGGGCCAGGCCATTGCTGCCATTACCCCAAGGACTCCAGATATCAAGCCATGACCCAAACCCGTAATTTCCTCAATGGTGCCCAAAATAAACACATCGCATCTCTGCTCCATCAGCAACATCCACCAATAAAAGGAGAAATGTATTAGCGGATGGCAGGTTAGAGTTCAGGCTTAAAGTTAGACCAACTGAGAAATCCTACTCCACTGATTACTAGCTTCAACTTTATCACCTTTAAAGTGAAAATAATTTCACCAATCTCACAGGTTTATTGTGAGGATGATATTAGTTTATGTTAAAACTTCTTTACATAAGGTTTTTGTTTTGTTTTTATTGTTTTTAGAAAGAAGGGAGAGGAAGATAGCGATAGAAACATCAACAATGAGAGAGAATCACTGATTGACTGCCCCCTACTAGGGATCAAGTCGGCAACCTGGGCATGTGTCCTGACCGGGAATCGAATCATGACCTCCTGGTTCATAGGTCGATGATCAACCACTGAGCCACACCGGCTGGGCATATATATATAGGGTTTGTAGGGAGTTCTCAACAATGGTAGTTACTATTATCATCCTCATGAGAACCAATGCTTGAAATGGTTTTTTTCCCCATATAGAGAAAGAAATGAATAAGACTTTAAAGCCGATACTTCGCAAACATACCAATATAGTTGCCTTCCACACGGCACTGCAGAGTGCCAAGACCATGGTCTTCCTGAAGGGGGTAGCTAGGGAAAGAACCAAACACCTGGGTGACAATTCCCAGACAACTCAGTTCAGAAGCTCTAACTCTTTAGTCATAAAAGTAAAGCAATAATAATAATAATAATAGCAAATTAGCCAGAGAAAGTTGGTAGATATTAAAAGCATAACGAGGTCATTGGGACAGATGCTTAGGGCATCACTAACTAGGGTTGTCATCTCATTTGCCACCAGTCAAAAACACAGTGTGAGAGACATTTTACTTACTCCTACCCTCCATTCAGTCCTGTCTTTCCAAAATCTCTTTTATGACAAGATAACAAAATTCTTATTTTAAAAAATCTATTAGCAGGAGTGAACTCAAAAAAGGACAATCCTGGGCAGACAAACTTAAGACACCAGGCAGAAACCACATTATAGAATTTGGCTCTACTAAATGCAAGTCCAAAAAGCTAAGCCATAGAGTATAATTCTTGTGATGACCTCAAAGGGAGGTTAATCCACTTAGTCTAGAGCAGTGGTTCTCAACCTTCTGGCCCTTTAAATACAGTTCCTCATGTTGTGACCCAACCATAAAATTATTTTCGTTGCTACTTCATAACTGTAATGTTGCTACTGTTATGAATCGTAATGTAAATATCTGATATGCAGGATGGTCTTAGGCGACCCCTGTGAAAGGGTCGTTCGACTGCCAAAGGGGTCGCAACCCACAGGTTGAGAACCGCTGGTCTAGAGTAAAGTGAAAATCCAGCAAAAATGTTGGTTATCTGGACTGTAAGTATGTAGACACACATCTTAAAAATAGTCATTGAAATAAATAAATATATATAGTAGTTGCTTTCGTTAGCTAGTCATTACAGTATAGTGGTTAAGAGCATGAACTCTAGAGGCTGGTTAGCCAGCCAGAGTTCAAATCTTACCTTTGCCACTTTCTCTTTGTGAGACATTGGGCAAGTTACTTAACCTCTCTGTGCCTCAGTTTCCTTAGCTATCAAGTGAGACTAATAACTATATTTACTCACGAGGTTACTGAGTGGCTTAAATGTAAAGCATTGGAGCAGGACATGGCCTACAGTAAGCACTAGGAAGAGTAGCTATTGTTTTCAAGAAAAGGTTTCAGAATCACTTCAATTTGCATTTTGAATTAATTACTAAAGAGTCTAAAGACAAAGCATTCCACAATTATGGTCATTTGTATTTTAAAATAGTGTGTGTGTGTGTGTGTGTGTGTGTGTGTGTGTGTGTGTTCTACCCAGGTGGAAGAACCTAAAAGCATTTATACTGGCAAGAAAAACACTCACCAGCTTCCAGTCTGCCTATTTACAAGAGAGCAAGGAGTGACCCAGTAGTCTCCTTGAGCTTCCAAGATCAATGGGCTGGAAAAAAAAAGTGGGTGGGGGGAGACAAGAGACAATAGTATGCAATGCTTCCAGCAAGCATTCCAGGCAAAATTTAGACAAAATATTGTTATGAACATTCTCCTCTGGATTTATGGAGTATTACTGCAGGTGGGTGAAGTCTGTCCCCTGAGGACATGTTGAACCAAATTCTCAGCCTGAAGGTAGGGGTGCACAACACTGTTTCATGGTTCATCCTCTCACACTGCAGAGGGAGCATTTATTCTCTCCCGAAAAATCTTCATCCTCTCCACATTGGCTATAGTGGGTCTACACAAAGCTATAGAGGAGTTTATGCCTTTGTTCCCCCTTTCAAAGATTGCTTCCCAGACCAAGGCTAAAATGGAACCAAGTAGTGAATAAGGCCAATGGTGTGCTTTGGGCTTCTATCTTCCACAGGAAAATTAATTTCCTTTCAAGACAAGTTGACCATTACTGAATGCCAGAAATGTAAATCTTGAGAGTACTCGAGTCCCGTTCTCTTCAACTAGGGAAGAATCAAAGAGAGGAAGCGGAACAGAGGGGGATGGCCCACCCTGTCCAGGGGGGTGAAGGAAAAACTAGACACAGTATACAGAATCTACTCAGCCGAGCATATAGTAAGATTATGTGCCTTCTACTTTGTAAACTCTCACTATAATTGCTTCATAGGTTAAATAACCACCTTCAACACTCCCTTCTTATTTTCCTCTCTTTCTGGTATGGATTATTTAGTAATATCACATTCCATTTTTTTAAAGCTTCCAATAGAAAAAGTCATGTTGACATCCTAATCACTCCCAGAAAACATTAAAGACTCAATGGCTTGCAGTACCTTCTTCCGTATTTCCTCTGATCACACTAATAGAATTTCTAAATGCACAAATGGAGAGCAACCAAGCAAGGAAGTTAATGGTCTTTTGGGTTCACACATCATTTTATAAAGAATTTAGTTCATCCTGAGGAACAAAACGGGGAAGGGGAAGAATGGAAAAAGAAAATCCACAGATGCAATTACAGTATAATTCACACTGAGCCCAGAGTGACTAGTTGTCAGTAAATAAATGGACAAACTTAATCGACCAGTCGCAATTACATTAGCAAAGTTTGCTGAAGCCCAGCTCACCAGGGACCATAAACTGCAAAGAGGGAAAATAGTAATTCTGTGCCAACTGCTTACAATTTATTGCTATCGGTGAAGCCGGCCCCAGGAAACAATACAGCATATTTGTAACTAGTTGTACGTCAAAACAAACACATGCTTACCTATCAATGTACTCAGCATTAAAATCAAAGGTTTCCAATTGTCCAGTGATAATCCAGCCATGCACATGTATTAGTTGTCCTGTTTAGTAGAGAAGATTTTTAAAAATTGAATATACTTAGCTCAAACTCTAAATGAATAACATAAACTGTATTTCTTTTTATACATTTCAATATGGCCAAGTTGGTCATGATTCAGAATATTTACTTCTTTATAAATGGTACAACGGGAAAGGATCACGATCCTTTGATTGATATTACTGATCAGAAAGGCTAAAATAACCACTGATTGCAATTATAGTTTAATGGTCTACGTATCTTGCATAGAAGGAATAGTGGGCCTTCCTCACAGTCCCATGAAGCATAAAGCTTTCAAGAGGAGCAGCCGGTTTCTGTACATGGCTCCTTTCTACTTGCTTGCCTGTGTGTAGGCCATCCACCCAATGCGGGATTGAAGAGCAGCATGCCTCGGGCTGCTCCACGCTTCGTGAGACTTTCCTCTGGACACTTGCTAATATGAACTCCTGTGATATGAGGAGGCTCCTATCACCTGGATGGGTACTCAGGGATACTAAACTTTTTTTCCCATATCTCAGAGTACAAAAGATAAATATCATGTTTGACCCAAACGGACCAGAACTAAAAGAAAGGGCATGAGACAGCAGTGGAATTATGGGCAATCACGTCTTGTTCATTTCATTAATGTGTTCATATTCAAAGATAGGGTAATTTGGGGATCCACAAACAGCTGGTGCGTGCCTTGCCTGCTGAAACATGGGTGACTTCTGCTGGGTTTCTTCTATGTGACTTGCAGGGCTTTCCATTGGGTATTAAGTTTTTTCTTAATACCCCCCTCTGTTGAGTTCATAAGATGAATGAAGTTGCAGGCATCAGCGGTCTCCTTTCAGCAAGGCACACTTCAGTACAACCCCTAGCCCCTCTGCTTCTAGGAGTAGGGGAAGAAATCTAAAGTAGCCCCTTCTCAGAAAGAGCTCGGGGGCCCTACATGAGCTGGTCACTTCCATAGTTGAAAAACAGCTAAACTCAGTTCTGTGGACCTGCAGGAGGCAACTTTTAAGCAAATACATCACAGCGAGGTTATGATGTTAAATAAAGATCACCACGCAACCCCCAACCTGGAAGAATGTGCCTTTCAAAGAATTACAGAATTTAAACATCTATGCTGTCATCTTTCATCATCACCTACAATGTTTACACATGAGAGACGTGTTGGATCAGGAGGTAAAACTTCTAAAATAGAAAAGAGAAGGGCACCTATGGGGTTCATGAGGTCACTGAATTCAGAGGACTTCAGTGGCCTTGAAAGAACATTACCATGTAATTGTCACCTTCACAGTAGATGACTGTATTGAAACAATGAGAACCTTCCAGGAAGTATTACCCACTTCACAGGTGAATGGGTAGAAAGAGAGGAAACCTAATGACTTAAGCAAAGGTCAGAGAGTTGGCAAAAGCCTATTGTCTGAAGGTCTCTGCTACTGCCAACAATTAGCAAAATAATTCTCCTTCATTTTAGTAGGGCTCAATTACAGATGTCCTGACTTTGGTGGACATGATTTCTAGCTTTGATGAGCATAATTTTAGAAACTACTAACAGGTTGTAGAAATTAAGAATTCTTGTGAGTTTCTATTTTGTTTCTAAACAGAGAGAGAAAGACCAACCGAATCTGACAAATGGCTAAGCCAGACTGTGAGGCTGGAGGATTCTGCGTCACAGTGAACGACTGTTAACCACATATAGAAATTCAACTGCTCATAAAACATCGACTCTCCTGTCCCCACCACCTCCCCCATCTCCCTGGCTGCTACTCTGGGCAGCCTTCCCAAATGAAATGAGAGTAATCGTGTGGAAAGTGATTTCAAAGATGCAGCCGGGTGGATCCTGCCCAGAGGGACCACTCCAAGCAGGTCAGTCACCAATTGTTCCCCCAGAAGGTGGAGGAGACAGTGTGTGGAAGTCTAACTCAGTGGGAGAAATGGGTCTGACAGATCTGGGTACCAGCTGACATCCCATTTCACACTTCTAAGGGCTGGCTCCTTCATCATGCCTCACCCTAACAAGACGTCTTCTGCCATGTAAACAGGCCTTTCTAAACCCAGAGCAGCAGGAATCCAAATGTTTGCATGTGATTTTCATAGACCACATCTCTTTTTAATAAAACATTATCATGTGCTGATTATTCAGACAAATGGAAATAAACAGATCTGTGAATAAACTGCATTAATAAGGTAAAGCTGAAACTATGCCTATATATACACACACAGATGTACAAACACTTTTTAGTAACTCAGATGCTCATTTTGGCATTCTTGAGCAGTCAAGCCATTCAAAACAACCAGTTAGTTTATGCATTTAGACACAACCACACATAAAAATTTGGCAACTTGCATTCCCATCTGGAAACCCTGAACAAATTTAAAAAACCTAAAATACATGTAAGACTTTGCCAAGAATCAAACAGCAAATTATATATAATCCTAGCTATGTTTACGACTTCGTTTGAAAGCAGGTTTAGCGGTTCCTGAATCTCTTGGTTGCAATCACTTCTTTAATGTTAATCCTCCAGCTTTCTCGCCTTCTCTCCTAGCCTCTTGGCCTTTGCATATCTGTGAGCTAACTCATGCACAAACCCCCAGGAATAGGATCAGGGTTAATGATCTTCATGTGGTATCCAACACTACTCAACACACGACAAAATGTTGGGCATATGGGCCCAGTCTGGTTTCTGACTATCTAGGTTCCAATCTCAGCTGTACACTTATTAGCAGGATGACTTTAGGCAAGTGACTTAACCTCTTGGTATCTATTTCCTCATTTGAAAAATGGGAATAATAACAGTTCCTACAGCATCAGGTTCTTGTGAGGATATAATAATGTAATATATGCCAAAAGCTTGAACAGAACCCGGTTCACAGTAAGTTTCAATAAAGCTTTGCTATTATGTGGCGAGTTATAAATCACAGCAATGAAGATTTCTATTTCCTCCATTCTCTGGCAGCACCTGGTTTGATTTTGCTGCCTCTCTTTTCGTGTTGGGATTCCTTTCATTATCAGTGAACTAATAGAGCAAAAGTGCCCAGAGGTGAAAACAAACCAGTTTAAAAATAAACCAGAGACCAGACACTTACTTTCAAAACAGCATCACAGAAGAAGCTGGAATTTCCCATTTAGGGAGACCACCCACCTGGGTAGAGGAATTTGCAACAGGCATTGTTGGCAAAGGGATTCACAAGTGTTCCTATTTTAATAGGAGATGTCTTACCTGGAACTCCGCTTGGTGGACTCACTTGGTAAACAATGGGTGTCTGTGCCCTGGAAAACTGTTCAGAAAATGTTATCACAAGTGAGCAATTCATGAGAATCTCACCACCACAAGCACAAGTCATTCCTCACAGAGCGTCCAGCTAAGGTAGTAAATGGTATATTTCCTCAAACCACCTTAAATCTAGCTCTTTTTTATCTTTGTAATATTTTTGTAAAGCGGGAGTGGCAGATATCATTACAGCTCTTCCATGGATGAGGTAAAGGAATTCAATAAAAGTCATATAAGAACGCACCCTTGTACCATGTTGCCCAAACTTTGGCAAGAGTGTTTCTACCTGCCAGACTCAGGAGCACGTTCTACCAGAAGGAAAGGTAGGCAGCCCACACTTTAAAATACCAACCTTTTCATTCCATTATTGTAACTTGGTATCTTGGAGCCTTGAAAGGTTGTTTTTTTCCCCTACACAATAATTTGTTTGTTTAAGTGGAAAGAATTGCAACTTAAACTATTATCAGCCAGCATTATGGTAGGGAATTAGCAAACTACGAAAAGTTGGAGATGCACACAAGCAAGGTAGTTATTGGGAACATGGAAGGTGCCTGTTGGGAGGAAAATGATTCAAATGATTCAAGGAATGGGAAGCAACATTACTCTTCAAGGAGGGAAAAGCACAGATGGAGAGGTGGGAGCCTGTGAAAGCCTCGTACCTGGCAGTGCCTCCAAAGCACTTCATCTGCTTACCATAAACCTCACACATGAGGTACAATGCCTGGCTCAGTCATTGTCGTATTCCTGTGCACAGCCTGGTAGGTAGAAGACGTTCAAATTTTTGTGAGTGAATGGAGAGGCCCCATCTGAGATGATGGATATAGTGTCTAAGCCAGTGGTTCTCAACCTTCCTAATGCCGAGACCCTTTAATACAGTTCCTCATGTTGTGGTGACCCCCAATTTCATTGTTACAAATTGAACATAATTAAAGCATAGTGATTAATCACAAAAACAATATGTAATTATGTATGTGTTTTCCGATGGTCTTAGGTGACCCCTGTGAAAGGGTCGTTCGACCCCCAAAGGGGTCGCGACCCACAGGTTGAGAACCGCTGGAAGCAGAGAGAATGAGACAATTCCAGGAGTTCTAACTTGCCTATAGGCATCTGACTTAGTCCCAGATCAATTTGTTTCACAGTCAGGGCCAGTGATAAGAAGTAAAGCGTTAAGAATGGACTGACCAGGCCAAGGTATGAAGATGAGCTAAGGACTCTCCCAGAATGAGACCAATTCTCCCAAACTCCTCTATCTGCCTAAACCACCACAATCGCTCCCCACAATCTGCAGTGCTTCCCTGCTTCCCATTTGCAAAACAAAGACAGCAAATTGTTTTGCTTGGAGTGCTTCCAGCACCGCAGGAGTCCACCTTCCCGAGGAGAATGTTACCAAAGAGTAATCCCTCGTTAATCAACAGCCCTAATCAGACATCAAGAATCAACAGACACTTCCACAGAGCTGCTGAAGGCTTGGCAGTGCAATTTTAGGTATTGATCCACACAGCTGTGACGTTTGCCATCAAGACTAATTTTCTCCCTTTCTAAAGGAAAGGGTTAGAAAATAGTTCACAGAAAATATGTAGAGTCAGGGGTCAAAATAAGAATGCAGTGACCTCACCGGTTGGGAGCTGGCTCCATCTCACCAAAGATCAAGATTAATGTTAATTCCACATACACCAGCCAAGCACATAATCCCCACCACCGCCTCCCAACCTCTTCCTGCACCCAGGCCTTCATCTCCCACCGGTTTTCCCTTCATACCATCGTCACTTCCATTGGGACTTTATCATAGGAGCCTCATGAAATAGACGAATGGTCATTGTTCCTCACGGATGTTAGAAACTGAGGCAAATGGAACAACCAAGTCCAAATCAACTAAGGACACATACCTCTTGATTTCCAACTTGAGATATTAAAATCTACCACTTAGACTATAAGCCTTCCACCAGAAGTTGGGGGAGAAGGGGGACGGGTAGAGCAATTCCTTCATCACCCCCTCTCAATTCCCCAGACACGGTGGGGCAGGCTCAGAGTTCAACCTCCAAAAAGGCTTCACCTGTGATTCTCTCTGAGCTGACACAACACAAAATGGTACATTTCTAAGAGAAACAAGCCCCTGGTCACCCACCAAGCTAGAGACATGACAACGTGAAAAATTAATGAGCTTCCAAATCCAGCTGACCACATGCTGATCCTTGAGACTAAATCAGATCATCAGCGAGGTGGGGGCGGGGGGAGGGAGAGGAAAAGCAGGGGATTAGAATGTCAAAGCCACAGCCACCAGCTGCTTGATAAACCTGTGAGTTGTTGAACCTGTCAGTGCCTGCAGCAGGCTCTTTGGAGTGGACCGGTGAGGTAGGATTAATTTTTAATACTCACGGTTCCCCCAGTCCCAATCCCAAAACAAAAAGACCCCCGTGTTTTATTTAGCTCTCATTAACTGCATCCCCCGGTGAGTTTTCATCAACACGCCAAGCCGGTTGGACCACTGAAGGACTTATTTTCTTCAATGTGCAATTTTAGGCACTGTTTCTCTTCTTTCCCCTTTTGCTTGTTTCCAAGCTTTAATAAGTAGGAAAACTACTAGCTGGGGTGAAAGCCCAAGCAGCATGGTGACTGAGGAGCATGCTCCGCCATCTCTTTGCTGTTAGAGTCACTAAGACAGTCTAGAGGTGGTGATGCGGGTCTTAATAAGAGGGAAGCTTTTTTCCTTTCTGTGCCTATGTGCAGAAGCAAAATTCTGGAAAGGAAGATTCTCTTGGAGTGAGAAACAAGTTGGTAAATGTGAATTGACAGCAAATTCCAAAATTGAAAAATGAATTGCCTATATCGAATGTGGGTCACATTAGAGGAGAATTTAGAGGATGAAGTCTTGCTCTAAAGGAGCACTGAGGAATGACTGAATTGTACTTTCTGTTATGCCCAGATTTCAGGATCCCCAAGAAACCAACAGGGAGCCAGCAGTCCGATGCAAAAGCAAAGAGTCCTTTATATTTCAAGCTAGCTTGAGCTCCCCGTCCACCACACTCACCGACACAACGGCAAGCCAAGTGGCCGAGAGAGAGAACCCCGCGTAGAGACGGGTTTTATAGGGGGGGTTGGAGTAAGGGGAGGAGAAAGGACTGTGCTCTGCCGATTGGCCAGGCGCAAGTCGGTGTCTCGCTACACAGGATGTGGTCATCTCTATGGCGCGCACGTTCTTTGATTGTCATTGGTTAGTTTAAAATCCTGGGCGTGGCCAGCAGAGGCCTGGGCTTCCGGGAAGAAGGTGCCTCTCTGAGCACATGGGGACACAGGGTAAGATGGAGGGCACAGCCCTCGCCCCTTCACTTTCATAAACAGAGGCTCCCAATGAGGAGGACATGTCAAAGGAACACTGCCAAAGCTCTGCCTTTTATGAGAAGTCTGGGACCTATATTTCAGAGTCTATTTTGGTGTAAAACTAATCTGAAATGGACAGTACACTGAACCAAACAGAACATGAAGCCCCAGTGTGCATATTGAGTCTCTAAAATAAGTCAAGCATTAGCTCATAAACTCTTCCTCTCTCCCTCTCTCACTCTCTCCCTCCCTGTTTCCTTTCAGCTCTGAGCTTAAAGGAGAAACTTTCACTCTAGGGCAATGGTTCTCAACCTTCTGGCCCTTTAAATACAGTTCCTCATGTTGTGGCCCAACCATAAAATTAATTTCTTTGCTACTTCATAACTGTAATGTTGCTACTGTTATGAATCGTAATGTAAATATCTGATATGCAGGATGGTCTTAGGCGACCCCTGTGAAAGGGTCGTTGGACTGCCAAAGGGGTCACGACCCACAGGTTGAGAACCGCTGCTCTAGGGTTAGAAAGAGTATAGAAATCAATCGTGAGGTAGAGAGGAAGGTAGAATTTGGGTTCCTGGGTCCCTTCACCATGTTGAGATCCAAAGAGCTGGCAGCTGTACAATGGAATGCTGATGCACACTGGTGATCTTTGTGACTCCTCTGAGCTTCAGTTTAGGCGCAGATCAGAGTCAGATACAGGTTCAAATCCTAGTTCTGCCATTTAATAGGCAAATTTTTTATGACATGGGCAAATTATTTAATCTCCCTAAGCCTCAGGTTGCCCATCTATAAAATCAGGATAATAAATAGTTACCCCATAAAATTGTTGTGATCATTAAATTAACATGCATAAAGATATACAGCACTCAATATTTATCTTTCATTAGTGTAGTCTCAGAAACCTCATAACTATCATCCACCTTTCCTCTTACCCTGGCAAAGCAGACTCCCTGCCTCATTTATAACTTGCTTGTCAATAGCACAAGCACACCCTCAGACCAGGCAAACACTTCTCCATCCTTAGAACCCACCTTGAAAGAACAGCTGTCTGGTAGTCCTGCAGTTGGGCTGCCTACCACCTGTCCCCCAGAGTGCACTTCGAGGTGGTACATGCCCTCATGTACTTGGGACAGCAGAGACCTGAGGACAAACAGTGGAAATCCTTGTGAATCAAACACTCTGAATTGTCAAAACTAGCAGCCCCACCTGACCACTTCAAATCTCCTCCCTGCCCCTGTGCAGCAGAGCTAACCTGAGAAGGCTAAAAGGCTAATTCCAATGTAACCCTGATATTTGGGCGGGCTAGCAATCTGAATCTGTGCCAGCAATCTAATGTGCATCCTTGATAACCTATAATTAAGTCACTGCCCCTTTCCTCTACAAACTGGTCTTACAAGACCTGTTACCTAAATGCTCACATTTTACAGAGGCCATAAACCATGATCACTACACAACCCCCAGAGGGGGTTATCAGCGCTGGCACCAGGCCAGGCCCTTAGATAAGATCTCAAGACCCCCATCCCAACCCACGGGGCTTTTTGCAAAGCCCACTAAAGGTCCAGAAGTCCCCATCCATATCTGGGGGACAAAGAAACCAAAAGGGGATAAAAGAAGGGCTTCCACCATATTGGTTTGCTCAGACTTTGGAGGCAACTCCCAACTCCTCTGAGACCGCCGGCATAATAAAGCTGTGTAACTCCATTTCTCTAAGTGTCGCTTGGGTTTCTTCGGTCTTCTACAATAAACCAAGGATTCCTGTATTCTATTTTTTACTTCCTATATCCACTCACCCACTAGACTCTAAAGGTTGAATCCTTCAGCAGAAGAGGTTATGATTTTTTAATTGAAAGTAACTTAAATTTTAAAAAAGTCCTGAAAAGGTTGGAAGGGACATTGCTAGTTTCCATTTTTTTAAAAAATGACAGTTCCAATTAGATGAAGAGATTTATGTGTGTGAACACAGCAAGTTAAGGACAAAATGGGGCTTGAATCCTAGGCTCTTTATGATAAAAGGCATTGATTTAACCTTTTGCCAAAAAAATTATTGACTTCATAATCATCTAAGCATCCCATAAACACTTCACATCTCCATTAAGAGAATCCCACCTGGCAGACGTGGCTCAGTGGTTGAGCAACAAACTATGAACCAGGAGGTTATGGTTTGATTCCCGGTCAGAGCACATGCCCGGGTTGTGGGCTTGATCTCCAGTGTGGGGCGTGCAGGAGGCAGCTGATCAATGATTCTCTCTCATCATTGATGTTTCTATCTCTCTCCCTCTCCTTCCTCTCTGAAATCAATAAAAATCTTTTTAAAAGAAAGAGAGAGAATCCCAGACCTTCTCTCCTAATTTCATGAGTATCACAGCAATTTCTTTGCCTTTTTGAGGCTGCCATTTATGTTGATTTGTATAAGGGGAAATATGATGAATAAGAAGCTAGCTTTATGAAGTGCCTCCCTTGCAAACCTTCTCATCAAAAATCTTTTAGTATGACCTTAAATATTTAAATTTGCACTGTCCAATGTGTTGGCCACTAGGCACAAGTGTTTATTGAGCACTTAAAATGTGGCTAATCCCAACTAAGATGAGCTCTATGTAAATTACACACTGGATTTTGAAGATTTAATATGCAAAAAAAAGAATATACAGTATCTCATTAATAATTTATATATTGACTCATATGAAATGACAATATTTTGGATATGTTGAGTTATTAAAATTCATTTTACTTGTTTCTTTTGATTTTTTTATGTGGCCACTAGAAAATCTTAAATTATATCTGTGTCTTATGTTACATTTTGATTAGGCAGTGCTGATTTAGATGTTATAATGCCTGTTTTGTGAGAGCAGATAAGTCTTTTCATGATAATGAGTGTGACAGTATTTCATTGATCATACAATATGTTTTTTACACTTGAATGGTAATTGAACTTGACAGTCATCTTCCAATGGAATACATTGAAAAAAACTAGTACTTCTTTTTCTCTAAAAAGATGGTATAAAATGAATGGTACATTATTTGTATGTTAGGACTGACAAGATTAAACAAGTGAATCTTCTGAGCTTTGACTTATTTCACAGCAAGTTCTTGCAGGAATACACATGCTCAAATATATCATAAAACCTATGGGAAATATAAAGCCCAGTGTTAAAACCAATAGTAGGGGGGGAACCAAGATGGCGGCGTAGAGAGTGGACCTGTGGGTGCTGCTCTCTCACAGCATCAATGAAACTACCATGCCGAGACCGGTTTGGCTCAGTGGATAGAGCGTCGGCCTGCGGACTGAAAGGTCCCGGGTTCGATTCCGGTCAAGGGCATGTACCTGGGTTGCGGGCACATCCCCAGTGGGGGATGTGCAGGAGGCGGCTGGTCGTAGGGAGTGGACCTGTGCGTGCTGCTCTCTCACAGCATCAATGAAACTACCAACTATGAGGCAAAAAACCACCACTCAGAACCATGGGGAAGTTGGCCCAGTGGGAGATCTACAACTGGAAGAAAAGAAAGAAGCGCAGTGAGACTGAGAGGGAGCTACGGAAGTGCCAAAAACAGAGGTACGCAGTCACACGCCAGGCGGGCTGCAAACGGATTCGCGGTTTTTTTTCAATCGGAATCCGTTACGAACCCTCGAATCCTCTGGGCTTGCTCGAACCCTCGAATCCTCTGGGCTTGCTCGAACCCTCGAATCCTCTGGGCTTGCTCGAACCCTCGAATCCTCTGGGCTTGCTCGAACCCTCGAATCCTCTGGGCTTGCTCGAACCCTCGAATCCTCTGGGCTTGCTCGAACCCTCGAATCCTCTGGGCTTGCTCGAACCCTCGAATCCTCTGGGCTTGCTCG